CGGGAATATTTATGTAATAGACCAATAGATATATACGGGAATGAAATAATTAGGTAATTCAATATAATACTTGATTCAAAATAAGTAAATATGATAAACGTCAGAAAAATGAACACAGACGATATTCTATAATTTGTTCAACGTCACCAGCTTAAAGAAGATATCCCTTGAATACTCACATCCTTCGTAGTCGATGGAGAGATGAGGGTCTCCAAGAGGCATGGGAAAACCTGGCCGTTGTGCCTCATCAGGTTACCGTCAGCGTTGATGCCAGTAGACTTGGCGATGAATTTGCTTCCATCTGTAAATTAGTTATAGGTAATTATTATTAGATAAGTTAACGAGTAGATTACAGGTTACATATCAACATCAGAAGTGTACAGTCAATGAAAATCCATCTTACCAAAGGAATATTCGTTGCGGACGCACTGCTTGAGGAGTTGGTATGGGTTGTTTGTGAGGGCAATTTCGTACCAGACGCCAGCATACTGAAATATTGATATTATAAATAATAATAATAATAATAATGAAACAAAGAGAAGAAAGGAAAGACATAATATGATCGTGATGAGAAGAGACTAAAGGAAAGAAGAGAGGTGGAGGAGAGAGGAAAAAGAGAGAGAACCTGCTAGGATTTACTGACATACAAGCAACACATTGCATTCAACAAACCTTTGAATGGTTAGGTATTTGTTGTTCGAAGAGAGCTTTCTCGTTTACAGCTGGACACTTTCCTGGTACTAAGAAGTCAGGGATTTTGTCAGCTGCAACTGCTGCCACAAAGGCGACGAAGAACACAGCAGATTTCATGATTTCTTTCTTGCTTTTCCACAACTGATCCTGCTGTAGAATACGCGACTCCAGCTTTATATAGGAATGCTTAACATGGAGAGAGGTTCAAGATAAGGCAAGATTACCTATTTGCATTGCATTTATAACGGGAAAAAACTATTTTCAATCTTGGTATACAAATTAAGGATGTATTGAATTTCATTCTAATATCAAGTACATATTTTATAATATAACTGACTTAAAAAGAAACAAATAAACAATGAAAAGAGTGAAAACAATAAATCGGAGTTCGTGGCAACATGACTCGCAGAGCTCCGCCTCCGAGAAGGTAAGGTCCACCCACAGGTTTGAGGCAGGTATAAAACTAGCCACGTGGGGACTAAGGGTTACATTCACGATTCTCAGGGAACAGAATTTGTTATTCACCGTAGACTGTCATCTGAGATAGCATTATGTTTTCCACACTCGTGGCCGCTACCCTTGTGGCCCTTGTCTCTGCTGACGGCATCCCAGACTTCGTTGTTCCTGGAAAATGCGCTAAAGTGGCCAACCAGGACAAGTTCGATCTTCGCAAGGTGTGATTTTATTGGTATTATTTATATTGCTGGGAATTATGTTTTAAATGTGACTGAGTAAACAAGTCTACGTTTACATTGTTTTAATACTGTGTCTTCCCCAACAGTACTCGGGCCGCTGGTATCAAACTCAGATCATCGACAACGCCTATCAGCCATTCACTCGCTGCATCCACTCCAACTACGACTACTCTGACTCTGACTACGGCTTCAAGGTGACCACAGCTGGATTCAGCCCCAGCAACGAGTACCTCAGAATGCAGGGCAAGATCTACCCCACAAAGGACTTCCCTGCTGCCCACATGCTCATCGATTTCCCTACCGGTACGTGTGTAACACTTATCCTTGCGGGTATGTTAATGTTTTGTGGAACCAATGCTATATTACTAATATGTGTAGTTAACTCCACCTAATGATTTTTCCTTTCATCAACAGTTTTCGCCGCTCCCTATGAAGTGGTCGAGACTGACTACGACAGCTACTCGTGCGTGTATTCCTGCATCGAAATGAGCGGCTACAAGGCCGAGTTCGGCTTCGTCTTCTCCCGCACCCCACAGACTTCCGGTCCAGCGAACGACAAGTGCGCCTCCGTCTTCCGCAAGAACGGAGTCGACTTCTCCTCATTCAGTGATGTTGCTCATACGGCCGAATGCGTCTACAGAGCATAGACATCAAATTCGTTACATATATTGTCACATACATACAAACGATGTATAGAAATCAGATATAATCAAATTAAGTGTGCGCTTTAAATAAAAAAGTCGAAAAATACGGTTTATTATACTTCTATATATCATTATTTATAGTTATGATATAGACTATTGGTCTTTCTAAAACTGAACTTTATAAGTCAACTGCACACAATTTCTACAGCTCTCTTTTAGTACATGAACAAAAACTGAATATTCCCTAGCAGATTTTAAAAATATCTTCCTCATAGCTGTCTGAACTATATGTACATTTATTAAAGTAGAAACAGGCTTTGAATACACACACTAAAACAACTGAAAACTAACCTTACCGAACCTAACCTTACAAATACAGTCAAACTGACAGCACATATTCATATACCTAGAGCTACAATGTAAAACACACACACACACACACACACACACACACACACACACACACACACACACACACACACACACACACATATATATATATATATATATATATTCCTCCTCGCAGTATTTTTTTTTTTTTTTTTCTCATCGTTACTCGCTGTCGACTAGTGGTGTTTTGTAGCTGTTATCTTGCTGGTGATTAATTTTGTTGTGTGAATATGTAGAAAGCAAAACGTATATTCAGAACAATATATATGTAGTATTAGCACACTTCCATGCAATAACAATTAATTATGCGATTATAATAAAATCGTATACCATAAATTCGTCAGCATCAATTTAGGCCAAAGTAAATAAAATTAGTGATGTGAATCATAATAAACCCCTTTACAATATCACCATCACTACCTGGACAATAAATTTAATCATATACATACATTCCTGTACACTCTTCCACACCCCGCAGACTCCCGGTCCAGCGAACTATTGCGCCTCCGTCTTCCACAAGTAGGGAGTCGACTTTTCATCTTTTAATGCAATTTTTCACACAACCAAATGCACTTGGAAAGCTTACTTCCATGGCATTTTATGTGGTTAACACACATCTTATATGAATGAATTGTTATATCACATGGCAGCGTTTGTAGATAACATAACATTATGAGATGCTCGTGTACGCATCAGTGAGACACACACATATGTGTGCGTGCACGCATACGCACACACATATATAGACACATATGCATATTTCTTTTTAGTATATCTATAGACTCAAATAAACTCATTGAGGTTGCCTTCATTTTCATGCAAGCGTTTTTTTGTTTAATTTTTTTTTTCTTTTTAATAACACAAACTCTGATCTTTCGTTTTCAAACAATCATGTTTACAGCAAACGTAGGTAGAAAACGTGTATGATTCTTTAAGTATCAGTTGACATCATTCTATTTCTAATTTTGTTTTCGCATGTATACGTTTTTCCCATTAAAATCATGAAAATGGATATCAAGGGACATTAGAATTGAAGATTTTTTTTTTTATTGTAAACGTGAATTGACATCGCTTAATCATAATGTGTATATTTACATTTTATCAAAAAGGCATTTAGAGAGATTTCTGGGTGTCATAGGGGCAGTTCGAACCCTGGACTGTCTTCGCGAAACGAGAGACGTCGACGCCGATCTCCTTAAAGGCGGCCTCGCAGCGTCTCAGGTATTGGTCAGAAAGGCTTGGCGAGCGGGAGAAGATGAAGGCGAAGTCGGCGTAGTATCCGTAGTTGAATTCGACGCAGGAGTAGATGCACGAGAAGTTCTCGTAATCCGTGTCGAGGATGACATAGGGAGCGGTAAAAGCTGCAGAAATAATGGGAAAATATTTGTAATGAAACGATAATACATAAACATTAGACAATCAAGTACGATATTAGATAAAAACAATAAACTACACAAATAGCTGATAACATCAATACACACTAGAAAAGTAGAATATAGATAACTGATTTTCCACTATTTTCCTTTAACAACTTCCGATATTTGTTCATAAATGCACAAAACAGAAATCATATTTCAATACTCACATCCTTCGTAGTCGATGGAGAGATGAGGGTCTCCAAGAGGCATGGGAAGAACCTGGCCGTTGTGTCTCATCAGGTTACCGTCAGCGTTGATGCCAGTAGACTTGGCGATGAATTTGCTTCCATCTGTAAATTAGTAATAGGTAATTATTATTAGATAAGTTAACATGAGTAGATTACAGGTTACATATCAACATTAGAAGTGTCCAGTTAATGAAAATCCATCTTACCAAAGGAATATTCGTTGCGGACGCACTGCTTGAGGAGTTGGTATGGGTTGTTTGTGAGGGCAATTTCGTACCAGACGCCAGCATACTGAAATATTGATATTATAAATAATAATAATAATAATGAAACAAAGAGAAGAAAGGAAAGACATAATATGATCGTGATGAGAAGAGACTAAAGGAAAGAAGAGAGGTGGAGGAGAGAGGAAAAAGAGAGAGAACCTGCTAGGATTTACTGACATACAAGCAACACATTGCATTCAACAAACCTTCGAATGGTTAGGTATTTGTTGTTCGAAGAGAGCTTTCTCGTTTACAGCTGGACACTTTCCTGGTACTAAGAAGTCAGGGATTTTGTCAGCTGCAACTGCTGCCACAAAGGCGACGAAGAACACAGCAGATTTCATGATTTCTTTCTTGCTTTTCCACAACTGATCCTGCTGTAGAATACGCGACTCCAGCTTTATATAGGAATGCTTAACATGGAGAGAGGTTCAAGATAAGGCAAGATTACCTATTTGCATTGCATTTATAACGGGAAAAAACTATTTTCAATCTTGGTATACAAATTAAGGATGTATTGAATTTCATTCTAATATCAAGTACATATTTTATAATAATACTGACTTAAAAAGAAACAAATAAACAATGAAAAGAGTGAAAACAATAAATCGGAGTTCGTGGCAACATGACTCGCAGAGCTCCGCCTCCGAGAAGGTAAGGTCCACCCACAGGTTTGAGGCAGGTATAAAACTAGCCACGTGGGGACTAAGGGTTACATTCACGATTCTCAGGGAACAGAATTTGTTATTCACCGTAGACTGTCATCTGAGATAGCATTATGTTTTCCACACTCGTGGCCGCTACCCTTGTGGCCCTTGTCTCTGCTGATGGCATCCCAGACTTCGTTGTTCCTGGAAAATGCGCTAAAGTGGCCAACCAGGACAAGTTCGATCTTCGCAAGGTGTGATTTTATTGGTATTATTTATATTGCTGGGAATTATGTTTTAAATGTGACTGAGTAAACAAGTCTACGTTTACATTGTTTTAATACTGTGTCTTCCCAACAGTACTCGGGCCGCTGGTATCAGACTCAGATCATCGACAACGCCTATCAGCCATTCACTCGCTGCATCCACTCCAACTACGACTACTCTGACTCTGACTACGGCTTCAAGGTGACCACAGCTGGATTCAGCCCCAGCAACGAGTACCTCAGAATGCAGGGCAAGATCTACCCCACAAAGGACTTCCCTGCTGCCCATGCTCATTGATTTCCCTACCGGTACGTGTGTGTAACACTTATCCTTGCGGGTATGTTAATGTTTTGTGGAATCCAATGCTATATTACTAATATGTGTAGTTAACTCCACCTAATGAATTTCCTTTCATCAACAGTTTTCGCCGCTCCCTATGAAGTGATCGAGACTGACTACGACAGCTACTCGTGCGTGTATTCCTGCATCGAAATGAGCGGCTACAAGGCCGAGTCGGCTTCGTCTTCTCCCGCACCCCACAGACTTCCGGTCCAGCGAACGACAAGTGCGCCTCCGTCTTCCGCAAGAACGGAGTCGACTTCTCCTCATTCAGTGATGTTGCTCATACGCCGAATGCGTCTACAGAGCATAGACATCAAATTCGTTACATATATTGTCACATACATACAAACGATGTATAGAAATCAGATATAATCAAATTAAGTGCGCTTTAAATAAAAAGTCGAAAAATATACGGTTTATTATACTTCTATATATCATTATTTATAGTTATGATATAGACTATTGGTCTTTCTAAAACTGAACTTTATAAGTCAACTGCACACAATTTCTACAGCTCTCTTTAGTACATGAACAAAACTGAATATTCCCAGCAGATTTTAAAAATATCTTCCTCATAGCTGTCTGAACTATATGTATATTTTAAAGTAGAAACAGGCTTTGAATACACACACTAAAACACAAACTGAAAACTAACCTTACCGAACCTAACCTTACAAATACAGTCAAACTGAGCACATATTCATATACCTAGAGCTACAATGTAAAACACACACACACACACACACACACACACACACACACACACACACACACACACACACACACACACACACACACACACATATATATATATATATATATATTCCTCCTCGCAGTATTTTTTTTTTTTTTTCTCATCGTTACTCGCTGTCGACTAGTGGTGTTTTGTAGCTGTTATCTTGCTGGTGATTAATTTTGTTGTGTGAATATGTAGAAAGCAAAACGTATATTCAGAACAATATATATGTAGTATTAGCACACTTCCATGCAATAACAAACATTAATACTGATATGCGATTATAATAAAATCGTATACCATAATTTCGTCAGCATCAATTTAGGACAAAGTAAATAAAATTAGTGATGTGAATCATAATAAACCCTTTACAATATCACCATCACTACCTGGACAATAAATTTAATCATATACATACATTCCTTACACTCTCACCCCGCAGACTCCCGGTCCAGCGCCTCCGTCTTCCACAAGAAGAGAGTCGACTTTTCATCTTTTAATGCAATTTTTCACACAACCAAATGCACTTGGAAAGCTTACTTCCATGGCATTTTATGTGGTTAACACACATCTTATATGAATGAATTGTTATATCACACGGCAGCGTTTGTAGATAACATAACATTATGAGATGCTCGTGTACGCATCAGTGAGACACACACACACACATATGTGTGCGTGCACGCATACGGACACATATATAGACACATATGCATATTTCTTTTAATATATCTATAGACTCAAATAAACTCATTGAGGTTGCCTTCATTTTCATGCAAGCGTTTTTTTTTATTTTATTTTTTTCTTTTTAATAACACAAACTCTGATCTTTCGTTTTCAAACAATCATGTTTACAGCAAACGTAGGTAGAAAACGTGTATGATTCTTAAAGTATCAGTTGACATCATTCTATTTCTAATTTTATTTTCGCATGTATAAGTTTTTCTCATTAAAATCATGAAAATGGATATCAAGGGACATTAGAATTGAAGATTTTTTTTTATTTATTGTGTAACGTGAATTGACATCGCTTAATCATAATGTGTATATTACATTTTATCAAAAAGGCATTTAGAGAGATTTCTGGGTGTCATAGGGGCAGTTCGAACCCTGGACTGTCTTCGCGAAACGAGAGACGTCGACGCCGATCTCCTTAAAGGCGGCCTCGCAGCGTCTCAGGTATTGGTCAGAAAGCTTTGGCGAGCGGGAGAAGATGAAGGCGAAGTCGGCGTAGTATCCGTAGTTGAATTCGACGCAGGAGTAGATGCACGAGAAGTTCTCGTAATCCGTGTCGAGGATGACATAGGGAGCGGTAAAAGCTGCAGAAATAATGGGAAAATATTTGTAATGAAACGATAATACATAAACATTAGACAATCAAGTACGATATTAGATAAAAACAATAAACTACACAAATAGCTGATAACATCAATACACACTAGAAAAGTAGAATATAGATAACTGATTTTCCACTATTTTCCTTTAACAACTTCCGATATTTGTTCAATAAATGCACAAAACAGAAATCATATTTCAATACTCACATCCTTCGTAGTCGATGGAGAGATGAGGGTCTCCAAGAGGCATGGGAAGAACCTGGCCGTTGTGTCTCATCAGGTTACCGTCAGCGTTGATGCCAGTAGACTTGGCGATGAATTTGCTTCCATCTGTAAATTAGTAATAGTAATTATTATTAGATAAGTTAACATGAGTAGATTACAGGTTACATATCAACATTAGAAGTGTCCAGTTAATGAAAATCCATCTTACCAAAGGAATATTCGTTGCGGACGCACTGCTTGAGGAGTTGGTATGGGTTGTTTGTGAGGGCAATTTCGTACCAGACGCCAGCATACTGAAATATTGATATTATAAATAATAATAATAATATAATGAAACAAAGAGAAGAAAGGAAACATAATATGATCGTGATGAGAAGAACTAAAGGAAAGAAGAGAGGTGGAGGAGAGAGGAAAAAGAGAGAGAACCTGCTAGGATTTACTGACATACAAGCAACACATTGCATTCAACAAACCTTCGAATGGTTAGGTATTTGTTGTTCGAAGAGAGCTTTCTCGTTTACAGCTGGACACTTTCCTGGTACTAAGAAGTCAGGGATTTTGTCAGCTGCAACTGCTGCCACAAAGGCGACGAAGAACACAGCAGATTTCATGATTTCTTTCTTGCTTTTTCACAACTGATCCTGCTGTAGAATACGCGACTCCAGCTTTATATAGGAATGCTTAACATGGAGAGAGGTTCAAGATAAGGCAAGATTACCTATTTGCATTGCATTTATAACGGGAAAAAACTATTTTCAATCTTGGTATACAAATTAAGGATGTATTGAATTTCATTCTAATATCAAGTACATATTTATAATATAACTGACTTAAAAAGAAACAAATAAACAATGAAAAGAGTGAAAACAATAAATCGGAGTTCGTGGCAACATGACTCGCAGAGCTCCGCCTCCGAGAAGGTAAGGTCCACCCACAGGTTTGAGGCAGGTATAAAACTAGCCACGTGGGGACTAAGGGTTACATTCACGATTCTCAGGGAACAGAATTTGTTATTCACCGTAGACTGTCATCTGAGATAGCATTATGTTTTCCACACTCGTGGCCGCTACCCTTGTGGCCCTTGTCTCTGCTGACGGCATCCCAGACTTCGTTGTTCCTGGAAAATGCGCTAAAGTGGCCAACCAGGACAAGTTCGATCTTCGCAAGGTGTGATTTTATTGGTATTATTTATATTGCTGGAATTATGTTTTTAAATGTGACTGAGTAAACAAGTCTACGTTTACATTGTTTTAATACTGTGTCTTCCCAACAGTACTCGGGCCGCTGGTATCAGACTCAGATCATCGACAACGCCTATCAGCCATTCACTCGCTGCATCCACTCCAACTACGACTACTCTGACTCTGACTACGGCTTCAAGGTGACCACAGCTGGATTCAGCCCCAGCAACGAGTACCTCAGAATGCAGGGCAAGATCTACCCCACAAAGGACTTCCCTGCTGCCCACATGCTCATCGATTTCCCTACCGGTACGTGTGTAACACTTATCCTTGCGGGTATGTTAATGTTTTGTGGAATCCAATGCTATATTACTAATATGTGTAGTTAACTCCACCTAATGAATTTCCTTTCATCAACAGTTTTCGCCGCTCCTTATGAAGTGATCGAGACTGACTACGACAGCTACTCGTGCGTGTATTCCTGCATCGAAATGAGCGGCTACAAGGCCGAGTTCGGCTTCGTCTTCTCCCGCACCCCACAGACTTCCGGTCCAGCGAACGACAAGTGCGCCTCCGTCTTCCGCAAGAACGGAGTCGACTTCTCCTCATTCAGTGATGTTGCTCATACGGCCGAATGCGTCTACAGAGCATAGACATCAAATTCGTTACATATATTGTCACATAATACTAAAACGATGTATAGAAATCAGATATAATCAAATTAAGTGTGCGCTTTAAATAAAAAGTCGAAAAACGGTTTATTATACTTCTATATATCATTATTTATAATTATGATTAGACTGTATTTTTCTAAAATTGAGCTTTATAAGTCAACTGCACACAATTTCTGCAGCTCTCTTTAGTATAATATTAACAAAACTGAATATTCCCAAGCAGATTTTAAAATATCTTCCTCATAGCTGTCTGACTCCATGTACATTTATTTAAAGTAGAAACAGGCTTTGAATACACACACAAAAACAAACTGAAAACTAACCTTACCGAACCTAACCCTTACAAATACAGGTCAAACTGACAACACTCCCCCTTCACCTGCCGCCCCCAGATCACCACTCATCATCCTATGACTCATAGGGATTCGTTTGGCCTGGAGAGCGGCTATGAGCAGGGCACTCACAGGCTAGCAGTTATGGGCTGCTGCGACTGTTTCTTCATTGCAATTGCTTTTCAAAACATTATGGAATTAACTGCTCAAATGATGTCTAAAAATTTGTTCTCATTATGGATATGTACAATTTTAAAAACTTTTTTCTTTCTCTCTGACTTCCTATTTTTTAGCTAAATAATTGAATATTTAATGAAAAACAGTGCTGCAACAACATTGTCACACTATGTAACCATAACACTATGATTTACACTTTTTTCAAAATCAAAATGAAGGGGAACCTTTCTTCTGAAGCTGTGAGTCTTGGTCCGTGTCAACTATTAGGGCACCAACTAATTCTATGATACTTAGTGGCAATACTTAATCAAACTGAAATGTGTTAATGATAAAAAGAAGGTATCTCTTATAGGTTATAATTCCTCTTAGATTACTTGTATGGTAGTTCATAAATTGTAAAACTGCCTGTCTCAGTAATTCATTCATAACTCAGATCGATGTAGGAAGACTTACCTTTTACAGGTGAATAAGAGGCCCTTAAATTTTTAGGTCCTGTTAAACAGCTGCT